GTGAAGTAATAAGTCGGTGATGCATAGGGGCGCTGTCTCCCCTAGAGAGGGTAGATCTTGTTGCTTGTCCCACCCGCCCCTGGATAAAAAGGAGCAGGCGTACCCCGCTGGGTGGCCATTCCAGGGTTGAAACCCATCCTAGCCCACACAATCCCTTTCACCTAACTCAATTTTCTAAAACCATTACTTCACCAAGGTCAGTACTACGTGACAACGTCTTGCATCTGTATCTCAGAGGACATTGCAGTTAACAAATAGATACTGGTAGATCGAAATCGAAGGATAAATCAGATTACAACAAGGCATCGCTAACCAGGGGTACCATACACACTCATGACAAACGGAGTGTCATTAGCAAGCATTACGTGTCTCGCAAATCCCTGTATTATCATGAGTAAAATCTGTAGGCCATGTGCATCTCGTCGCAACGGGTATAAGGACAGATATCAATCTCCTATGAGTTGTAGACACCACGACTTCAGATAAGTAGAAAACTCATACAAGTGCTGTAAAGCTTAACAGACGTGTCCCTTAACATATCGTTATGCGTGACAGCCAGGGTGGAAGATCGGATAAGTTGAGGTCAGCTTCCTGTCACCGTTACTTGGCACGTGCTTCGTGCTTCGTGCTTCGTGACTCAAGTCAGGTCTGATTACCGAGACTGTACGATACCTCGTCACCATGGCTTAGCCCAGTGCAGCCAGTCTGTGGAGTGCGACTCTGCTTCATACGCCACCTCTTCCCACGATATTGAAACCATCACAGAGGACGTTTTCAAGCCTAGCAACTATTCGGGCAGAGATATGTTACAGGAGTTCTACACGTTATACCTTCGTTACCACCTACAAAAAGGAACAACAGCCAAACAAGCCTTTGATTGAGCAAACGGGTTGTGAAGAGCCGGAAACTAAGGCAAAGCAGTTCAACACACTTACCTTTCTGTCGTTTCCTGACAACTTGATTAAGAAGATAGATTTGTGACTGAACGCATCTAGAGCCAAAAATGTTAGCCTTAGCCTTTCTTCAATCAGTAGGACCGCCTATATGACACACGATTGCACTTGCCCAAACATCCTACCATCATCGAAGATTATCACGAGGAAGTAAAACATTTGTCTACAAAGATGCTTGTTGAGATGGCCAGGTTCAAAGATCTCGATACTTTTCAACAAGCAGATGTTAAACACCAGAACCTACATCAACTGGTTTGCAGCTGGTATCAGACATGTCATCCCCCTGATTAATCAATTGCTGGTTAATCCTTGGACAAAAAGAGTCGACCTCGGCCTGGAACAGTTGGATCTTGTCCACAGCTCCTCAGACGATATCCTCAACAGGAGGATCTCCAGTCAGCTCAACTATAAATGTCAGCCAGGTTTCTAGTTATCAGCGCAACCAACTCATACAGCAGATACGCCAGAACATCTCGTACATTGTACTACATACGTCAGAACATCTTCTGTAGGGAAGTATGTTGTTGCATGCTATCACAGCACCCTTGTTCTTCAACAAGAGTCTTCACGCCGTCAAGTAAGGGATTGTCCAGTTGACCCATCAGAGGTTCCAGAATTCTACACTCAGCCTGCATTCCAGAATGCAGAAACGTCCAGCAGAGTATCAAATTCAGCGAGATCCTCCAAATCGGAAGACATGTGACATTGACATGTGACGCGGGATTCTTTTCATGCTCCAGTCTGACAAGACAGATCAACATTTCCCTTGGGCAACTACGCCAAAAGTGAGCAGATGCGAAATGTAGCAGAGACAAAGGCAGAGGCATTCCGAGTTGAGGTCACTGTCATGTATGAGCCATTTCAAGTTCAGCATATCTCTCCAAAGCCTGTCTCATGGACATTGATTGCTGACAACCGGTATTCAACACAACACCGACCCCGGCATCAGTCAGGGGTTGTCTGATGCAATATGCTGCAAAGTAAATCATGGACGACACATTTCCTACAACGTCCAAAACTTGTGGTCGATCCCATAGGTTGCCTATTTCATCTGTCTGGATCCAAGCTAGCTGCCGCGAACTTGGCCATACAGAAACTTGTACTCAAGGGGGCAGTCAGTGCATTAAAACAGTCAGACACCACCAATGGATTCTACACTCCAGTATTCCTGGTTTCAAAGACATGCGCATGATTAACGACTTGAAAGTGCACAACAAGGATTGACTTGTACGACCTTTCAAATTGCAAATGAGGGAGCTTTCCCAGGCAAGGAAACTGGATGATAAGTCTAGATTTACAAGAAGCTGCTCTTGACGTGTGACATGAGTTCAAAGCGTTCTACCGCTTGGCATACCAATCGCTCTATGGCTATTTACCAAGATCATCAACCCAGTCATCAGGTTTGCTCATCAAAGGCTAGTGAGACTGATACATCAACAACTTCCTATCAGCTGCAGAATAAACATATCTGGGCTAATGTTCACCCTGACCAACTCAAAACATCGTCTATATAGGGGTAAGGTTTCAACTTATCAGGGGGAATCTTGGCTTCTCCAGCAGGTAAAGACTCAAGAGCAAGAAATATGATCTTAGATCACACGACCAGCCTATCAGATCGCACTGTTGGTGGATGTCTTGGTACACTTAATCTATGTATATACTCCCACTTCATTTCTGCCAACTTTCTGGGGATGCTGGATGTCAGATCCCACCGGTCACTCTGGTGTATGCTGGCTAATGATGTAATAGAGGTAATATATTCAAAGGAATTACCAAACAAAAGTTATCATAGAGTATAATTCTAAGATTACATCAGTAAGTATTATACATACTCTTTTACATCAGGAATTAGTACCTCCCACCTTCCCAACGTTTCTGCATCTAGACATTGAGGGTTAGTGGTTGAAAGAAGTGATGTTTTATTACCTCGCGCTTGCGCAGTTGCATTTCAGTTCCCCTCATGACTATTAAGTATGTATGGCAGTGAAGAGGGCGTCTGTTTTATAGTGTGATGACAGCTGAAACAGTAATTTATGGCTGATGATGCAATAGGGGTAGTGTTCTTAGAATTATACACAAATTTTGTTTGATTTCTTAATACCAGTCAATGGTTATGCAAGGATCGCAATAATGAGCTGTGGCAATGTTGATGCATTGCTGATTCGGGTGACTTTTTATTTTGCTGATTCTACTTGATGCTAGTTCAGGTTCACTTAATCTGTGTGTGTACTGTTGTGACAATGGGATTACATTAACGTATTTTCATTCATCGCTGATGGCGACTGACACTGATTAAGTTTGACCAGTTCGTAACTCACACAAGGAGATACTGATCTCATGTACACCTAACTGAAAGTCAAGTGAACTCATGTTGTGACCTGTTTATTCATCGAACCTCGAGCCTCATCCGTTGTAAACGTCTCATCAAAAACCACTAGAACATGACCACAGCAATCATATTCAAAAATGACTATTTAGGGCAATTACTGAATCATTTTGCCCCGCAAAATAATAATCTATCAAGAAAGTAATATTGTATGTTTAGTTGGTAATGCTACATACATCAGATTGTGATACTTTATCACTTGACCCTGATTTGACTTTTTTACTTATACCATCACCTAAATTCTCACAAACTGCATTTCTTTGGGGTGGAGGTGTGTGGCTGGGGTTTTATTCCCTCCAAAAAACTTGTCAACGAAAAGTCTTGTAAAACATAATTATGCTTCAGGCAGTCCAACAATAAGAGATTGCCTGTCTGTTACAATCTGAGTAGAAATTGTCCCCAAATTGAACTGTACATCTCAAGGGTAGTTGCACATTATAAATTGGCCACCTACTGGCTTTTGAAATATTGGAACTGTGCTTGCTGGCAGTTAGTAAGCCAGTGATGCAATTTCTCATCCCGTATCAATAATACCTTTGAAAGTAGGTTCTGCTGTGTGATTTCTTTTCTTTTCCATTGTGCTTTTGAGTTTAATATAAGATATCATTTCAATTATAGACAATTCTCTGTAAATTTAATGTTTGTTTTTAAGGACATATTTCGATATTCTAGAAAGGTATGTTGAGCATTTGGACGAGTCATATTGTTTAATAATACACTGTAAAAGCTGAAAGATAAATCTCAAATGCGCAGTGCAGAAAGGGCGTCATGGCCATTCTGAGTCAGAATTGGTCGCAACCTATGCTTGATATAAGAAGCGACTAAAAGAACTGGGTGGTCAAGCTAGGTGACTTGGTTAATTGCGTGTTCATGTAATCCAAAGATGCAGGATGTGTTTCATAATACCAACCATTTACTGGTCCAGACAAATTTGTAGAAGTAGTTTGAGGCATGTGACTTATTAACATATGTTATATTTGGCATTACACTTTCTCAATAAAGTACATACTCTACTGCTTTTTTAGTTGAGTTCCGTCCGGAATTCGAAGCCACACTTCTCAGAGTAAGGCACCTTTTCTTCAGCACATTTGACCACTTTCTAAAAGACAAATGTGTATTCAAAATTCTTTTTGTTTCAACGTATGCTCGTCTGTGCCAAAAACATGTGTGCCTACCTGTCCGAAAGTGACTCCAATATCATTTTCATTAGATATTATTATATTGACTGTTAGCAGCAGTTTTGACAACTAGACTGAACAGAATGTTTGGACGCAGACTGTGTTTTCCTTAATCCATAAGTGATATTATTAAGCAGGAGTTACTCAAACTTCTGTTATTTGGGTAGAAGTATTGAACTGTGTTGTACTGCATTAAACAGCATTAGAGGATTAGAGTGAGATATTGGTGAGGTCCGCTGTTGATAAAGTCTAAATGGTACATGGTTCATGAGAAGAAAGTTTTGGGACATTCAGGAAAGGTGGGACCGCTTCTGTTTTCGCATGTAATGCAAACACCTTTTTAGTTGCAATGTAGGTTATACTTCTGACATCACTATAAGTAATTCTTTTTAACTTTGAGAACATGATACAGTAAATTACGTTATCTAAGGAATTTTGTTACAAATTGGTGTTAATTATCTCTATTTCTTTTGTTTTATTAAGGAAGCATCTGTCTTTCTTTTTGAGAAAAAGATTGCAGACAAACTTCACAAACCTCGGCGACGTGAGACAGTATCTGAACTTCTCCGGAAAGAAGTTAATCAACTGGAACATGTCCGCCATCCCAATGTACTGTCAGTAATGCATGGAGTCGAGGAGTGCCAGTAGGTGCATTTCCTTATTTTGTGTCACTCTGCACTTAGTTAAAAAGCAATTTTCACATTAAAGGCACCAGAGTCAATTCACATACATCAGTTCCTGTGTATTTTCTTTACATGAATTTGTGTTTAATAACCCTTTTGGTACAATACATTTACCTGTATTTACATCCAGGTGATTTGCCTTGACAAGCATTTTTAGATGTAGATCTAGGATATTGAAGCACTGGGGGTGTATATTACCCAAGTCACAACTTGAGCAAGAACAACCGAGGGACTGTCAGGCCTACATTAGCATCTGAAAAAAGGTTGGGTGTGCACCCCCTGCGCCAGTGTACATATGTTCGTGTAACAACTTTCAATGCAAAATATCTAAATGCTTAACATATACTTCCTGCAACATCTCGTATTCAATTAAAACTAATAGGTTTCAGTGTGAGGGCCCGTATTGGCCCACATGATCTTCATAATTGAAGAAAAACGCAAAATATTTACAAATGATAATGAAACCATCAGATGGGAAATATGAATAGCAATTGGACGCTTTACTGGCATGTTCTTAGCTAAGACGTCAATGGTTAAAGAGGAAATGCTAAAATGTTTCAAAAAGGCTGATTTTATTTCTGTACATCAATAGGTCGTTGACTCATTCTGATTTCATTCTGTTTCTGATTTACCTTCAAGTCAGTGTTTGTCTTTACCCCGCATATAGGCCATACTTAAATATCATAAGTCCAAAACGTGCATGCCTGATATGAAAATGGTTTCTCGTCTTTAAAACTTAAGGTATTTTGTGAACAAGAAAAGTACCTCTATCATACTTGATCCTTGTAACTACTACTGTTTGTTTATGATGTAACAACTCTGGCTCTGACCTTGTAACCTTGTCATAAACTCATCATGGCAATGTTTTTACATTTGCATTTCATGATAAGCATAGAGGATCACTGTTTTCAATAAACAAATCGAAGCTTTTATTTCACTTTTAACATTATTCTATCCATATTATAGCACGTAATGTACCAAGGACATGACACATTGTTTGGTCATACTATTTCTATGTTCCAGTGACAGTTTGGCATTTGCAACTGAACCAGTCATAGGAAGTTTATCCAATGTTCTCGGAAACTATGAACGCATCGCAGCACCTGTTCCTCAAGAGCTTAAGGTGAGTAAAACTGATAAACCAAATATTTAGGATGCCAAACCAAAGTGATTGCATATGTATTTTGTCTGTCATGACTAGTGGTGTCACAATTGATCAAAGTATCCACACATTGTCTATGAGCTGATGACAATACATAGATGTAGAATGTTGAAGTATCTTTAATATTGATTAGTACTATCGATAACAACGAAAGTATCAAAGCTACCTCCCTTCACGTCAAACTTGTGGGTATAATCAGGGGTATATCTAGACCTGCTCAGAGGCCAATATTCGGCCGAAGTCAAATGTCGTTACAAGTTCCCAAATTGGAAGTATATATTTATCAATTCATGTAACAACTAATAACTAAGTTGATGTGTTTACAGAGGTAACCTGTATTTTTGACTGATAATGCTTAGTTATACAAGTGCCCCCTCTCATAACCCCCTAGTCGTCATTATAATCATATACTCACACGCAAAAGAAACGCAAGTCGAGTATGCAGTATACATGTTATTTATTTATTTTATATATATTGACAAAAATTTGACTGAAGACAGTTTAATGGATTAAAAGGCAGATGACATAATTGTTTTTTTTTCAAATGTTAAGGGCTTACACAGTTTCGGGTCAATACCCAAAATGTCAGTCAATACCTGGTGTGACCACCATTAGCATTGATCGCAACACATCTCCTGTACATTGAGTGGATCAGACGATTTATGAAGGCCCTAGGGATCCTCCTGCACACATCCAGAGCAGCTGTGCGTAGTTCATCGGCGGTTGTAGGGACTGGGCCCACATTGTGCAGACGCCGTTGAACCTCATCCCACAAGTGTTCGATGGGGTTCAGATCAGGGTTGAGGGCTGGCCACGGTAGAACACGGATGTTGTGTTGTTGCAGAAAGGCCATGGTAGCTCTGGCAACATGGGGACGAGCGTTGTCCTGCTGGAAAATGTGTTGTTGATGTTGTGCAAAAAATGGAACAACGTGGGGTCTGATCACTTAGTCGATATGCCGCTGAGCAGTGACGCTGTGTCCCCGACCTTGACCAACATTCAGAAAGCACATGGGTCCATGTCTCGCATTAAGTCCAATCCCTGCCAATATCATGACGCTAGGTCCACCCCATGGATCCCTTTCCGCAACGTTTCTGTCAGTGAAACGATCACCTCGACGCCGCCAAATTCTGACTCTTCTGTCTGCATGGGAGACACAAAAGCGACTTTCATGAGAGAAGATCACACGCCGCAACTCACAATGACGCCAATTGTGATGACCCTGTGCCCACTGAAGTCGTGCTTGTCGATGAAATGGTTGGAGAACAGGACGACGTGCTGGTCGGCGACATCTGAGGTTGTTGGAACGGAGACGTCGGATCAGTGTCCCAGCTAATGTGTCGATTATGTGTTCCTATGGTCTGTCGAGCACTTTCACTTGCAGTTAGAAACGGATGTCGCTGGTGTTGACGGGTAATCTGCCGATCGTGTCGAGGTGTGGTGACCCTAAGACGACAGCTCCGAGGAAGGTCATCTGTGGTCTGTGTAGCATTGTATCGATGCAGGAGACGGTAAATTGTGGTTCTGTTAACGTTGAAATGACGGGCAACATCTTGGACAGACTCTCCAGCTTCCAAACGTCCGATAGCCTGGTTTCTCTGAATTTGAGTAAGGCGTGGTGGCATTGTTGACCAAGGAGTGGTAGGTCCAAGAATCGGCTACAGTTCGTGACAGTTCGTGCATTTTCGATTTCGCGACAAATGGGTGCATGATACCCACATATTCATTGAAATAGTGCGTTTTGGCGATTTGTTGTTTATGTTGCGTTTTTACTCGGGGCTTCCAAAATGCAGCCAAAAATATTCATGCTAAAACTCGTATCAATTGATGGTTCCGTGTTTGTTACCTATTTGCTTAAAACCACTTTGCGTGTGAGTATATATATACATATGTCTGCAGTTGAATGTCAGACAACTAACAACGATAACTTTGGTACCGTTTGCAGCCTCTGTGATTTCTCCAGCTTCAACTGGACTTCCACTATCTAATTTTAGATATATTCACCACTTTATTATTCACCACAACATTATTGTTTAGCATCTTGACTTTCTTTGACACCTGTCAGATGCTATCTGTCTTCTGGTTGGCCCTTTAGTCCACTTCTTTAGACTTTCTTTCTCAACTGCCCATCCTCATGCATTCTGCGTGAACTCTTATGAAGGGAGGTCTCTTATTTTGAGGTGAGATACACTTCAATACTTTTCTATTTCCATCCTGCAATAGAAACAAATATACTTGTAGAATTAGTATCACAGTTTTTCATTAAAGTAAACTATATTTAATTACATTATTATGTTCACACATTTTTGTTATATTTATTGAGCACACGGTCTCTCAACCATGTGCTACTCCTTATACATTGTAAAGATTTCTTTTTGGCTTAAGCTTGATTGTATTAAGTATTAATGATTCTGCTTGAACTCTAATGGAGGGAGGTCTCTTGTTTCTAGCCTGCCTTCCATCATCTGACAGAATATTTTTCGCCAACATCATCTCGACTACCTCATGTTTTCACTTGCAGCCCAGTGATTGGACATTCCATAACCACGCCTGATTACAAATCACAAAATACAACGTTAAAATACCTTTGCATTTAAGAAAACAGGAACCTTATTTTGAATATAGTAACGTGTTTTCCTAATTTACTGCAAGGGGCACTTAGTACCTGCGTACTGGGTCTAACCTCATGTCGTTACTGCCAGAGATTCTACATTGTTGAAAAGAAAAGATATTCAGCATACTACCATAGTACAAATCACCACAACAGGCCCGTAGGGGCTTTTGTTAGTATATCCTATAAGCTATTCTTGGAATGATTGCACGTGAGCGACGGTCAAGGCCTCAATACACAAAACAACCCCAGCCAAGGTTAACCTCAGCCCCTAAGGTTATGATTAAGGTTACCTTAGTCTGAAGTAACGCCCGTTTCAGCTGAAACCATTACTCGGTATGCTGTTTTATAAGGACATGGCTCAATTATGACAGGCTCCGCCATCATGCATGATAGCGGAACTTCAAATTAAGACAAGAGATATTATTGGATGAAATGGTCGCGGATGTGGAGGTACTGGTGGACTGCAGCAATGAGCTTAACCCCTGTTAAGCAACCCTAACTGCAGCAACCGCTGCCCTCCAACAACCGTTGCCAAGCAACCCATGTTGCTTACCGATGCAGCATCCGCTGCCCCGCAACTACCGTTGCCAAGCAACCCATGTTGCTTACCCATGCAGCGCCCGCTGCCCTGCAACTACCGTTGCCAAGCAACCCATGTTGCTATGCAGCTATCGCTGCCAGGCAAGTACCATTGCCAAACCATGAGCGAGGGCAACTATTGTTGCCAAGCTGACCATCCGCTGTAAAGTTGACACTAAGCCATCTGCTGTTAAGCAGAATGGATAAATTGGTTCCTGCTGTAAAGAGGGCAACCCTATCCTAAATCATTTATAATTTGGGATGTATCCCTAGACGCCAAATGTAACTTGTAATGCAGTCCACCAGCACCCCGCCAAAAGCACCAAGGTGCTTCCCCACAACCACGACCATTCGCTCTCATGTACACCCACCGTGTTATAAAATACTGAAAATGTTTCCTACAAGCATACTGCGGAAAGGGAGCTGCCAATGTTTTGTGTGAATAGATCAAGTCTGACCGGTGACAAATGAACCCCGTCACGCAGGTACAGTTGCTGCTCCTGCCGGTTGAACACTGTGTGGGGAACCCGTATCCCCCCCAAGCTAACGGGCCCTGTTCCCCACTCGTCTGTTCAGCTTCTGCCTGGCCCCGTCCAGGTCCCGGGCACGGCTGGCTTCATGCCAGTACCTCCGTGGCAGCATGTCTGACCACAGAATGACAGCACCAGGTAGGAGGAGGTGTATCCTCAGGAGTGCCAGCTTGATCTCATGATATAGCTGACACGTGGTTACCTTACCCAGCGCCTTTCGAACCAAGGTGAGTCACCACCGCCTTTGGTGGTGTCTGCATTGCTTTGACCTGGGCATCTATCAGCTTGGTCAGCTCCTTCCACCTCATGCCGCCCCTTGCCAACCAGAGACATCCCCCTGGAATACCGAAGTCACTGTCCTGTAGGTGCTCTCTCGCCCGGGTCAGGAAGCTGGACCCAACCAACCATACTGAAAACATGAATCAATAGGAAGAAAACTGTTCTTGCATGGTTGGCGATTTAAATGTTTGCAGGTATGCGTATATAGCTTTTATAACATTCTGACCCCCACCTACCAAAGTGCTGTATCAAATCTGAACTCACTCCGTTACCGGCTGCTGTCCTTGCTGCGCCAATCCTGAAGGAATGCGAAGAGTATGCTGCTGTGCAGATGCCGCTTTTTAGCACGGCCTGAAATTGATACCTGGTCAGGGGAGATTTATCAAAGTGTACGAAAGCTTGAGTCTGACCCTGTGATCGAACTGTTAGGTATGCTTTAACTGTAGCCACTGGACACAGATTGAGGCCAGGTATGGCGGAAATGGAAACAACTATGCCATGTGACTGCCCGTCCGTTTTTGAATGCCTTAGAGCGACTGTTACTGTCTTAGTCGTGTCTTGGACTTCTAGGTCTAAGAAATCGCACCCTGGATGAGAAAGTTTGGTTTGCACGAGTTCACTCACCCGAAAGAAACCAAAGAAGGCCAAGCAATATACTGCTTGGAACAATCTTACTTCATAGGTAGAAGAGCAGACAAATTGCAGGTTGTTTACAATTACTTTGAGCAGGTCTATTGTTATTGGTTTTCTGTGATCGTACCTCCCCTGACACTTTTGCATCCCGGTAATCATTTTAGTAATAACAAAGTGGCCGGTGCGGTCTTCCATGCTGTGTAGCCTATGGTACGTTGAGATACCGGCCATATACGTTCTTACCGTACTCGGTGCATGTCCTGACACTGACAGGTGAGCAATGAAATGTACCAGATGAGTGATTGGAACCGGCCAGACATCTCCCAGGTTTTGTGATGCCCTGAATGCTTGCAACGCTTGGGTTCCTGCCTGGTAAGTTGCCCACGTGTTTGCCGCCAATGATCGCTGAAGGAGCCTCTCTGCCTCGATTGTTAGCCCTGCCAGAGATTGTCTGGAAGTGGTGTGGGATGCAGGTTGGCTGATGGAGCTGCATTGCGGAATCGTTCCCACTGAAATCTCGACAGTGCATCTGCGATAATATTGTCGTGTGTTGTTATATATCTGGCCTTGAACAAAATGTTGTGTTTGAGGCCCTGCAGCACTAGCTGCCTAATCAGTGACATGATTCTGGGTGCCTTTGAAGACTGTTTATTTATTATCGACACTACAACTTGGTTATCACAAAAGAAAAGTACTTTCCTGTTAGCAAAGGCTGTCCCCCACAGACAAACTGACAGCACAATCCGAAACAACTCCAGCAGTGTCATGTCACGAGTCGAGCCGTCCTCCACCCACTCACGGGGCCAGAGCCCGTTTGCCCAGTTCCCGTTATAGTATGCGCCGAACCCCACAGTGCTGGCTGCGTCAGTAAACAGCTGCAGACATGTATTGTCAGCCCACTTTTGATTCTGAAAAACCGACACACCGTTAAATTCCCCCAAGAACCCGAGCCAAACCTCTAGGTCCTCCCGAACTCCCCACGTGATGCGAACACCGTGTGCTTGATGACTTACCTTTGTATAGGCATCAATCAGTCTGCGGCAAAATGGTCCACCCATGGGTATTGCCCGGCACATGAAATTTAGCTTACCCACCAGAGACTGCAAAGCTTTACGGGTCACTTTGTGATTACCTGAGGCCAGCATATCGTGTATGATTGCGTTGATATTTACAATCTTTTCCTGTGGTATTCTAACCTGCATCCTGACTGTGTCGATTTCAAGACCTAGGAATGTTAAGCAGGAAGCAGGACCTACTGTCATCGCATGTGCTACGGGTACGCCCAGCTCCTGGAAAGTACTGAGACATGTATCAAGGTTGTCACCACAGTCTTTCGTTCCTGCAGTTCCGTCTGTGAGAAAATCATCAAGGTAATGCATGAGTTGGCCGTTAGGCAACTTTTGCTGGACACACCATTGCAAAAAGGTGCTGAATTTTTCAAACACTGAGCATGATATGGAACAGCCAAACGGCAAGCATTTATCAAAGTAGTATTTACCTTGAAAGCACAAGCCTAGCAACTCAAAGTCCTGAGGGTGTACCGGCATCATCCTGGAAGCCGATTTCACATCAAATTTTGCAAGTAGAGCATTTGGACCAAGTTGCTGTACCATACTGACAGCCTCGTCGAACCGTGCATATGACACAGAGCATGCTTCGTTGTCTATGTTGTCGTTGATTGATCTGCCTTGAGGATAAGAAAGGTGGTGTATTAAACGAAAATCGTCTGTCCCCAGCAAGGACTGACTCCTACCCGTTTGCTTTTTGGGTACGAAACCGATGGGTGAAACTTGTAGGTTCAGCAGGGGCGGCGTTTCGAAAGGACCTGCCACCCTAACTAATTTTACTTCCTTTTTCAATTTGGCAGCTACTATCTCTTGTAAAATGGGATCCCTGGCTGAGCGTGGATTGTCAGACCAACGACTTAGGCGTGCCCCACTCTATTCCAGTTGAAAACCTGATTACAAACCTTGTAATAAATAAATGGCATGGGCATGGTTAGAATGCTTTTACAGTTGCAAATGTCGCTTTAATCTAGTGAGTATGAGTGGAGTTGGGGCCAGTGCCTTTAGCATGGGTTGCCTGTGTGGAGTTAAGTTGTTTGGAGGGTCTACGACCCCCCTTTGCGCGAAAGCAAGAATAGGCGGGATGTTGTTCGCCACAATTGGAGCATTTATGAATAAACTTGCATTCTGGCCTGGCGCACCTTGACCTGTTGTAGTCCCAGCATGCGTTGACTGTAAAGTCACGGCCCCTGCTGAAAGGCACTGTAAAGCGTTCAGTCTTTTTTTTCTTGAACACGGGACATAGTCGGTGTCATGTGCTTCAACCACAATTCACCGTCTATCTTGCCCCACTCCCGAATTGGGTCTCGTGCCATACGGTGTCGGAATTGCTGGTCGTAGTTTGACCAGCCAAAACCCCCGGAGCGGACTGCGGCATTACGGATTGTTTCCATGTATGCAAACATGCCCTGTATGGTGGACTGACAAAAATGTTTCACCACGTAAATGCTCATATATATGTGGAAAGCTGACGTCCATTGACCTATGCTTAGTGTCCTGGCGTTAGCCGGCTTGGCCGGCGAGAATCGCAGATTACCCGACGAATCCATCTGCATCTTAAATGCATCGTCATCGTCATGCGACTGTGCGCCTGGCAACAATGTAGTCAACTCCACAAACTCCCCTCTCCATACTCTCTCCCGTACAACTTGACGGACGTGAGCGCTGATAGCATCCGCCTGGAAGGTCAGGGAATCCCCTGTTCCCTGATTGGTTGACCCCGCTCCTGACTCTGCACGTGGTGTGACGTCACGGGAAACTCCCGGCTCGCCCGAGTGTGCACTGCTAAATAACAACACATCGGGATTTCTTGACACCACCGACCCCGTTACCCCCAGATCATTTGTACTTACCCCTCGCATGCCAGTAAAGCTCCGAGAAGTATCTTGGGCCATCCGTTTGCCTAGCATATCCAGTATGCTGTTGAGTTGGCTCGATATAGCTAGCATCGACGGAACGGGCGACACCACTTGTTGGGGCTCTTCGATGTCTCCGTGATCGACTCGCGGGAGAACGTTTGAATTGTCCGAATCATCTGCTTCAACTAGCAAGTTAGCACCTTTTTGTACACTTGGCAAGGGGGGTCCGTGCAATGGAGATCTAGCTGATCTCCGTGACTTACAAGTAGCCGATGTCGCTTGCCGGACACTTGGTTCCCTCCTGGCTATTTTCCCGCTCCTTACGAGGCGGTGATTTAAGGCGGCCCGTCTTTTTGGTGGCATTCATAATGGTAATTGCAACGAATTATAGATGAATGCGCGAATATAACTATGTGTTGTATGGCTGAAAGCTGGAGAGCAAGTGCTGCGTGAGCTGATGTCACGCTACAACAGGTCATAGAAAATATAAACAAACGCTCCTTTACCGGACGTGCCAAGAGCGGATCTAGGCCAGAGACGATGGCACCATGCAAAACGGCACGTAGCCGCACGGAATGAAGGTATTTCGCTGTAATAATATTAGCAACTGTGCCAAGCCTAACATAAAGGCATTTAGTTCTAATCACTAAATGCTATTAAAAACACGACAGTTACGGATAACTTTGACTAATTCTAACACAATTTGTTAGCGCCGATTTTTAGACCGATTTACATATCGTCAAATATAATTTCTAAACAATGAACGGTTACGAAACTATAGCTAACTTCCACCACATTGTACCCTACCTTTCTCAGTAGCATGCCTACGTGTTGTTTTAAGTCCACGTGTAAGAGCCTTTTTAATTAATCCCAGGTAATATCATATAGCACAACAAATTCTGGATAAACAAGTTAGACCATTAAATGAATCCAATCGCGTGAAGAATCTCAAGACAAAAATACACATGCCTAGACAGTTTATCTGAATGATCATCATACATTTCTTGATACTATCAATTTTCTTTGTATGGTGCAGAAGAAGGATGACAATTCTCAAACACAGGCAGCAATACCGCTTGTTACTCCATGTGTACTACAAACATGTTCTTCTACTTATTTTTCCTTACACCCTTACTTATACTTATATAGTTAATTCTCATGACATATAAGCATTACATTCACTGGCGTTATCACACATTTAAGCCACAGCGTTGGTTTGTGAAATATTGGATACCGTCTTCATGGGGATGTATGTGTGTGTTCACCTACAAAACAAGGTATGTGCTTCACAGGAAGTTTTAAAAATACAATATAGTTTAACTTTAAGGTTTCACTCAAAGAATTCTTTTCCATGCAACCTGTCAGTAATTGGCAAGTCTTTGTCTATGCGCATGACTCTGAAATTAGGGTACTTACATATTTCATAATTGATACTGAACACGTTTCGCTACCCCGTCCTTTGTTGACATTGTAGACTAAACAACCCACATACTCATGTGTCAGAATGTGCACATTTCCTGGTATAATGCCAAATGTATAATTACAATAATCATAGGAAGTTATATAACAGTTTATTTGGCTAATATTCCGTACATATACATATACATATATATATACATATATATATATATATATATATATATATGTAAAACATGTTATCTCGGAGGTTATAAACATATCAACTTTAATTTGTCATATCAGACAATGAGTTAAATATGATTATTGGTGATGATCGAATCCCTAACTCCCTCCCCCTAAATGATTCATAATAGGGGGTTGGGATATTCTTCCCCTGGATCGTCGTAATCAGTTGGCAATGAGTAACGATGAAGCACGAAAAGTTGTGTCTTGCGTTCACGTAGGTCTACGTGACGAATCGCAGCAATGGCATAGGCCGTATCAGGAAGTTGCTTGCATCTTTCCGTTACGTACAACGTCCATTCGGTTAGTCCGGGAATGGCACGAGTTAGTTACAAAATAGGGAAATGGTAATACGGTTTCAAAAAAACATTTTAAATTAATATGCATATATATATATGTTTATGTAGAGTGACACGCACATCTTGGGGAGATTAAAATACAAATATTGGAAGTCGGTCGAATTACGAATCTTCGAGACTCCTGAACACTATATAACATCAACACATCGTCCGACTAGAGATGTATTTTATATATTCTGTATAATTTGTGAGAATGCAGTTATGATTTGTTTGTTTGTTGTTTAACGCCGTACTCAGCAATATTCCAGCTATATGAAGACGGTCTGTAAATAATCGAGTCTTGACCAGAAAATCCAGTGACTGACATGACCATCGATCCACGCAATTGGATACTATGACATGCATCAACCAAGTCAGCGAGCCTGACCAACCGATGCCGTTACCCACCTCTTAGGACAAGCATAGTCGCTATTTACGGCAAGCATGGGTTTCTGAAGACCTATTCTACCCCGGATCTTCACAGGTGTAATGCAGTTATGAATGCTGTGCATGGTGCCAAAGTCACAAGCAACACGTATTTAGGGCGGAACTGTGTTTTCAAGGACAAATTCAATCGCTGGAGTTATTTCTTAACACAATAGCCATGGGTATTTTTTGTATTAAATGCACACGTAAACGCAAGAATTACAATATTAAGGTATCAATATAAAAAAAAACCAGAATTGATAAACACCATTTTTATAAACGTTTGGAGTCGAGAAAAGAGATACTCTACGATGTGTTTGTTTGTTGTTTAACGCCGCACTCAGCAATATTCCAGCTATACGACGGCGGTTAATACTCTACGAACATGTCTTCTATCGACTTCTTGGAATTAGCTTCATGCAAATTTTTCCTAGGGCATTACTTTCATTGGTCTAAATCGACGTGACCTCTTCCGGGTCATACCGCACGTGATGGAAGTGCAATGTTTTTTTTTACTACCGGATGCTATGCCTTAAGGCGTAGATTTATATGGGTTTGAAAGTCTGTCTCACAAATTTATTGACATCAGAATAATTTGCTCAATGTTAGATCAATCTTTCCATCCGTACCATGTCACTTAAAGTGTTTATTTATGTGTGTGTTTTTAATCATGTACCTTGGCCGATCGCGATCAAACGTGGAGTAAGTTCAATAACGCTATCATATTTTGTAATATCGCAGCGAGGCACACAACAGGTTCTTTTTTAAGGTTACCTGTACAACAAGAGCACCATTCAACAGACTTGTCAACACTGGAGATGCATTAATAAAGCCTACAAAGGAAGTTGTACAACAGTCGGAGACTTTGAACAGAATACCACAGACCACACCCATCCCTGTGAGGATGCCGACCGACTCGAGGAAGAGGACCAGAGGGCAGACAACCCACATGCATGAGTTGTACAACCAGGGTATTGCTCAACAAGATCAGGCATCTCTACAGCCCTGCTTCACCTGTATGAGCAGGTCACTCTACAGGCATCATCAGAAGGCCATTCCAGTGCTGCCACAGACCAGAGCTGAGGTGGATCTGACCGAGGATTGCAAGGAAGACAATACAATCCTGGCGTTCTCAACACAATGTCAACTTGAGGCACTTCAGTCAGCGAGACCATCTACATGGGTGGGACATTCACTTCCTGTCCTGCACTCTGGGATCAAGTCTATATCGTGCATGCCAGACGTGGAACTGTCAACTACCCTCTTGTATTTACCCTGTTACCAGATTGACAGATGATAAAATACTAGTGACTCTTCAGTCAGCTAAAGACACTCGTCCAGGCGAGACTCCAGCGAGAACCTTCTCCAGCCAAGCAGTGTGGAGGAAGACACAGGATCTTGGCTTAGCTGTCCCCTACAAAGAAGATTCCCATGTGAAGCAATGGATATGGTGAGCTGCGGCACTACCACACCTCCCTCTTGGGTAAGAACAAGACGATGCCACAGATGAGGTCTTCAATGAATGTATAGTGATGAACTGGGTTGGATTCAAAGCCAGACAACAGGACCGCGCACCAACAACGATCTTGAGGGATTTCACAACCGACTCAATCGAGAACTACCCCACGACCATCCGAACATATACCACTTCATTGAAGTTATCCAGAGAGTCGAGAGGGCGGACCGCGCAAAGATGTCCCAGATTGATTCTCTTATCTTACATAAAGTACTTAAAGTTTGTAAAGTACAAGTTTACTTTTCTACATTATCTTATATGAGTACTTAAAGTTTATGAGGGCGGTCGGGTAGCCTGGTGGTTAAAGCGTTCGCTCGTCACGCCGGAGACCCGGGTTCGATTCACGACATGGGTACAATGTGTGAAGCCCATTTCTGGTGTCCCCCGCCGTGATATTGCTGGAATATTGCTAAAAGCGGCGTAAAAGCAAACTCACTCACTCACTAAAGTTTATGAAGTACAAGATTACTTTTCCACTTGTTTTGGATCAGTCCATTTTAATACTTAGGTAACATAGGGTAGACCAGTCAGTGCATTCAGCCATGACCTATGTTGTTTTAAGGTGTATGACAAATGGGACGTGTAACTAATTGGAGGATACCATTATCGTCGGTGTGTCGAAATTTGCTGTTTGACGTCACACATTGAGTGCATGAGGAATGACGTAATACTTTGAGCACTTCGGCATGCATTTTCATATACATGGCAGAACAAGCTGATTAAACTCAGAATGTTTTACAAGTTGCAGCGCCTTCTAAAACATAATTGGGTGGCATACTATTTTTAACAACAAAAATATAGTGAAATGAATATTTGATTTGGAATGAAGATTAAAGATAATTCATTAATGTGTTATGTAACATAAGCCTAACTTTCGGAAAGAAATAATAGTGTAGATTGAAAACTGAACGGATAGTTTTTTACCTGATTTTTACCTGATGCAAGATATTGCATCATATATGCATAAAAAGTATGTATGGCTATGAATGATATCTTCTGTGAGTCCCTATGGACGAAAAGGAGGATACATGTTGAAATCATTGAAAGTGATTAATTAGGATCTGTAAGATCTGTGTGATTTATCTGGTCTCATCAGAAAATACAATCTATAATAATCATTTAGTGTCCCACATACTTGGTATGTTTTTGGTTGTTGGTACAGTGGTCAAACTGGGACACCATGGTAATGTTGTCAATTGTCCTCGATGTACTCACAAGCCCCAGGCATTTGTGAACCATGTAGGGGATGAAAATCATCAAAGCTATGAATATGTAAACAGCTATTCTCTATAAGCATCACAAATGGTCTGTAGTTTACCCTAATACTCTGCTCCTGATGCCTGTGATGCCTATTTAACCCAGACAGGTTGACAAAGGACAGATTTAGGATGTTTTCAGGCAGCTTGGGCTGATCAATTTGGCGAAATATTCATCTGTAATTGCCTATTTTGTTTCTATTGATTTTTTTTACACAAATTAATCCCAACCGTTGTGTGTGATGTTTCAGTCCAAAAGAAAGCGTTAACGTTTTAGTGTGTTCATTTCAGTTTTGGAGGGTTGGCTTATCTGTGCTCCAACAAATATGAAAAATGGCCGTAGCCTAATGAAGTCAGTTATCGCTTCTTTATAGAAGTGTCATATCTTGAAAGTGAGACACTTTTTTATACCATATTATATGCCATAAACAAAGATTTTAACCATATGGTATTCCTGCTGTATAAAAACAGACTTTCAGTTATTTGTGATGTTAGCTTACAGGAAAGTTATCCCCCCAAAACTAAAAAAAACAGTACACACATTTGGTTATATAACAAACTGACGGATATAACAAACTCACTTTTTTTGTCGTGACTATTTGCTGTATATGCATTTTACGAACAACGGTTATAACGAACTAAAATTAGTGGTCCCTTTGAGTTTGATATAACTGTAGTTTACTGTATAGATACTGATGATTACTGTGGCCACTTGTGGCGAATTAGTTTAGCTGGTATTTTAAGCTGTTTGGAATGTGATGGAAATGGTAACAATCTGAACATAAATCCAACATTTTCAGGCTTTGGCTTTTAAGGCTGCTTAATTACTTCCCTGTTGATGAGTAATTTGAAGACCATGATATGCACTATCGTGTGTTTGCAACATGCTCCATGTTTTAAATAATCAGAAGTGTTGTTTGTTTGGATGTAGATTTTAGGCCTGTTCCATGGTTATTAGAGGAGTGTGTGACAAGTGATCTAGTTCCACAGTGCAGTCATGAAGCGCACTATCACTGTTGGGAGTCATGGCATTAAGATCACTTTGTTGGCTCAGATATACACAATTCAAACAGGAATTTTCAAAATGGTTTTATTTCATTTCAGGATCATGACTTCATTGAGGCTGAAATAAAGTACGGCTTAATGCAGGTAGGAAGTGGCAACAGAGCATTCATTCTCCAATAGAATGCAAGCTTTCAAACAGCCAAATCTGTCTGAAGTTAGCTCATTCAGACATTTAGTGCTTGTTCCTTTTACGCAAATTCTCCACATGGCATTATAAGTTTCAGATAGAAACTTAAAATGATCTTCAAAATGGTGGTAAAAATCTGTCGTTTGCACAATCAATAAAAATATTATCCGTTAAAAAATGAATGGATGTGTCTGCTGTAATCTGACTGCAGTGGTACGAAACACTGCAAAATGGGATTTGAAAACCACAAATCTAGACTTTATGTCTTTTCAATTCCAAAATTAAATTTTGGCATTCAGCTTGGAGAAATGGACGATGCTTTTATTATCTATCAAGTTGATTGAATATTTATGAGAATGACTGACTTTTAGATCATTGTTTTGTTTGAATTGTTTCTAATGCTTTTAAAACTCTACTGTTTAGTTCATCTGAAAGTCAAATGTATTTATGTTATTGTTTACTTCTCTGGAAAGTGTCACACACATTGTCATCTGTGAATATCTTCTCTCAAGAAACCACGGGAACAATGAAGCTGAAACCTGGCAAGCTTATTCCTACCACAAGACTTGTATTTGTTACACAAGGTTCACATCCAGCCTTCTATTATGAAAAACTCATATATAGCCATCACTCTGACATTTTTAACTCACCTAACTGAAAGTCAAATGATCTTATGTCATGGCCTGCTTGTCATATGCGGGTGTAAACACTGCCTCCACAGCAACCAGTGGAATTCATTGCTCAAAACTTATATTTTTGTTCCTACCAATGATGACACCAAAATTTGTTCAAGATATACATATCCAATTTTCAACACATTGAAACACCTATTTATAACTGTTTTTCGGTCAATAATATTCATAATGCTGTGAGATTTTTACAGGTGTATTTATTTTAAATTTTGACTTAACTTGGCTTTTGCACATTGCCATTACTGAAAACCGAAAAGTAGCCATTGTGTTATTGACTGTGACACGTGTTAGTACAAGTGTTAGTGCGACAAAGAAATTCATGTTACAAGGCTGCTTGACTCGACTGTTTTCTCATAATACATGGGTACAATGTGTGAAGCCCATTTCTGGTGTCCCCCGCCCTGATATTGCTGTAATAATGCTAAAAGAGGCACAAAACCATACTCACTCACTCACTCTCCAGGTGCTTGACTGACTCAGTTCATTAGGGGGCATGGGTGGCCCAGTCGTCGCTATTCGCTGTGCAGAGTTGTATCCCTTGGACACGCCAGAAATCTATGATTGTGGGTTCGAATCCCGGTTCGCCCGATTATGTTTCTAGGTTTGTCAGCACCATACCCGTGCTCGTAGGTTTCACCGAAGTGGTAAACATATGAGACCTGCATCACTTTCCTCCCACATTAAGCTGACACGCCGTGATATAACTGGAATACTGTTAAAAGCAGTGTTAAACCCAACTCACTCACTAGTTCATTATCAATTAGAATTTTTAGAAACTGAAATATGTAAAAACAATACTATTACAAATATGGAAATGCCTTAAATGGATAACTTATTCATCACTAACTGAATGAGAAGGTAACCTCCCAATAGATAGACCCCTTTAGTTAAAACAACACAGTGTATGGGTGAGTGAACAGTAACTCAACTCTGACCTCAGGATTATAATCCAACAGAGATAAGTTCAAGATTAAAATTATTTATTTTTATGTTATGGACATGAAGGATTCTGTACATAAATTCTGCATGCACAGTTAGCAGACTTTCAGTTACAAGTTCACATATCTCCACATAAACTGTGATCAGAATATACCCCCTCTGGGTAGAGCACTCAAGGTGGGACTGGTCCATTACAGCTGTAGGTATTGTCCTAATTTGTCCCCTTCATCACTGTCTGACAACCTGGTCTCTAACGGTTCCCTCCCATCAGTCAGACAGGCCATTTGTTGTACACCTTGTTATTGCCAATTATCATACAGTTGAGTAGGGGGGTAATTAGAGCACTCACCTTAAGCTGTAATGGTATGACCCAACACTCTGAGTTAAGGTCTTTGTTACAACAATGTTAAACTCATAAAGGGTGAGTTGTTGTGAGCTGGTTATCTTGTCAGAAGAGGGTAATAAAATAATCAAAGTCACTGTAAGTTCTTTTACTAACAAATGATTAATATGTTGTTTTAATAAATACTTTGCCCTTTGAAGTTAATAAATGTAATTCATGTAATCCTATGAAAGGAGACTAGAGATGTTTCTTGTTAAACAGGGTTCATATTTATAATATTATGTTGAATAAACCATACTAATTTATTAATTAATTTTCTGCTTTACAATTTGTTTTCTTACAATCTGCAAATGAATTAGCACAAGATCATTCATAATTATAATCTTGGTGTTCCCTATAATTCAAGCTTAAACATAAACACAGTTAATGATCTGTGTGGAACAGTCCATATTGATAGGTAGAAGGCAGGGGATTAGTGGTCCAGTCATGCATATCCTATTTTGTTATAAGCTGTATGACAAATCGCCTGTATGACTGATGGGAGGATACTTCTCTAACTAATGTGGTATAGCCAATCAGGGTAAATCAGAAGTTTAAGATTGCCGTCTAAGTGTTTTGTTTTTATTGATTCATGTAGATGCATTAAGGTAAATATTAATATAATGGCTTGCAGTAAAAGGCGACTATGCTTGTCGTAAGAGGCGATTAACGGGATCGGGCTGTCAGACTCGCTGACTTGGTTGATGCATGTCATCTATCCCAATTGCGTAGATTGATGCTCATGATATCAATCACTGGATTGTCTGGTCCAGACTCTTATTTACAGACTGCCGTCATATAGCTGGAATATTGCTGAGTGCCAACCAACCAATTAATATAATGGAAACAAATATTAATGTAACCAAGAGATGTGTAAAGTATGTGGATCAGGTGCTGTAATGGTCTTCTTATTATTATCCCCCGCCCAACAAAGTTGGCGGGGGATATAGAAACGGGCTCCGTCCATCCGTCCATCCATACGTCCGTCCGTCACGTCTCGTTTCCGGAGCATAACTCATAAACCGTTCAATATTTTTTCATGAAACTTTGCAGGTCTGTCAGGTACATGCTGAACTGGTGCCTTTTGCTATTTAGAAATTTAAGAAATTTTTGTTTTTTACGTTTCCATGGCAACAAGATGGACTTAGGTTCCAAACTCTTTTTTTTACAATTTCCATGACAAGTTCCACCTCGGTTAAAAAAGGTTAGGGTTTGTTTAGATTTAATTATGTCATTAATTCTGCAACAGGGGCGGGGGATATAGCCACGTTAGTGTCAAAGTCTTGTTTTAATTTACTCTGTGCATAAACATTGTGATACACCTGTACGCAACCATTGAACTTCATTTATAACAAAACAAAGCTTCACCTAATGCAAATGTTACAAGATTTCCCATTTCACAGGCTTTATATTCTGGGAGAAGTGTATATGATGTACTATTATGTAAGGTATGTAAGGTAGCATCTGTCTTAAATGAATTAATATCTCCAACTGTTTTAAATATCCATCCAAAACCAAAGTGTTCTATGATATAGCTTATACTTCTTTCATACTTTTTGTAGTGACAGTTATCAAAGTACAATTGCATTTTATGGAGACACAATTTTCATGTGTTTTGACAAGTTTTAAGCAGTATTTTAATGTCATGCACATAGCCTTCATAAAGAATGCATTGATGAATTCTCCATTGACAATAACATTTGGTACCATAATCTACCTTCCCAGACAGAGGTCATGCCTCGGGTATCCCTTAATTGCTGAATCACATCCTGGACCAATGGCAGAAGGGCATGCAAGCTGAATAATTGGCTGAATAAGAATTATTTGGAGAGAAGATAAACATGTGCAAAGTTCCTTTAAATTCATAGAAATATTATTGCAATAGTATTGCAATATATATGAAATATTTATTTTGGGCTATAGAGAATCAGCACAATGAATATGTACACAGTCTACACTGGCCAGTATTTTGATTCCCTTTCTTTAGGAGAATATCTATGTTGTGAAAACTGAAAACATCTGTGGTGTTGGAGGTCTAGAAGAGCATTCTGTTCAGTGCTGATAGTATTGCCCAAATGTTATGACCTGGCACATAGTGCTATTTGTAAAGTGCAGCTTGTAAAAAGCAAACATATATTATGGAATTATTATGGTTCTGTTCGGATGAACAAAATCTTCCAAATGGCGTGCTTGTTTTCTTTGGGGAATTAGTCAGCAAAGAGCCGGAGTCACAGGAGACTAATCACAATTTTATTTACATCATCATTCATCATCTTTTATTCCAATAAGACCGCTCACAGCGGTACATGGTGTACAGTTACAATATGTAGAAAATATATTACAGAGGCTGTTGATATATGTTTACAGCATTAAATATACAATAGATAAATTTACTCAATTTTCTTACAATTGAAATCTTTGGGCAGGTCATTAACTGTTGAAGCTTATGATAGTTTGGATAAGTATAGTAATATTCTTGGAGATATTGTTCTCGTTCATTATTAAAATATGGACATTTGAGCAGGTAGTGGTATTCATCTCCCACAGAGGAATTGCATAAATGACATAGTCGTCTTCCAAATGGTATATTTTTTCCACCTCCCTGTTTCTACAGGTAGAAAATGATTAGTTGTTCGAAATTTTAGCAGGGGAATGGAGATATTTACGCTTTAAAATAAATATTGTTCTAGACTAAAGTTGGGATTTATACAACTATAAAATAAACCTTTTGATGATGCCGTTTGGGCTCTGTGACAATTTTGAAGAAAATGGTCCTTTAATCTGTGTTCCACTAGATTTAATAATAACTCTTTACTGTTTACTGTCTGATTGTGCCAAACATAACTTAAACCACAGCTATCCAGAATGTTTTTGACATATAACAACCAAGGTGAATGAAAAATGTCATTACAGTGTTTTTGATATAGAGTCTTATACATGACAA